CATACACTAACAATGAATTATTCATGATATTGCTTTAGAGCAGTTACAGTGTTCTCGGGGTGATAGAACAATTTCATCTAAAATCCCCTTTTATTACTTTTAAGGTGGGCCCTAACCCTCCATATCCCTTTATTGTTCTATTCGTAAAAACATCTAAAAAATGGTTACAACTACTTAATTATGTGTGAGGAATGGACTGACGTGACAATATTTTAAAATGTTTCTGCCTTTGATAAAACAGTGACATCTCCTGACATCCTGCGATCTCTGCTTGTCATATGTCTATCCTAAAACTACAGTAGTAGTAGTTGTAGGATGAATATTGTTATTTTGAAGTTGAATGTCCAAAGTCTTCGTATGATACTCTGTGACAATGCATAATCTACCAATATCTTTCGACATACTATGAATCTGGAGCCAGCCTAATCTTTTTGGGAAGTGCGTTATATTTTTAACATTGTTAATATTTCACTATGTTAAGTTGATATTCAGACCAGGTATAACAATGAATAGACCTCTTAAAGTCAGTCAGTCAATTCAAAAGTCATGTATCCTGGCGATTTGAAAGTACACTCTGTACTTCTTCAGATACGTCAGACAGTATGAACATAATTTTTGAGAATGGTGTCTAAATCTTGGTAATTGAGTGACTAATAATAGCTGATGTCAAGCAGACCTACCGTACTTGTTGTGTAATGATTTTTCAACCTTCATATACTGTAAAGAAAAATAGATTAATTTCATTTGGAAATATGGATTTTTTGTGTTCTGTTCATTTAATTTTACATGCCTTTTAAGGGAGTTTACAGTAAATAATTTTTATTTCAATAAGTACTGTATGACAGTTTCTACCACGCATACATAATTATGACCTTAATTGAAGTCAATTTTCATATGGAACTGGAAACATAACCAAACCCATGCCTGTCTCAAATGGTATCTGAGCCTTGGGCCTCTCAATGGATAAGATCTACAGCAGCTAAAGAAGATGAAGGATTAGAAGAGCCAAGGCATCACTTTAACACTATTCAAACATCTAACACCTTCTTTAATACTTTATGTCTTAAAGCAATAACAGAGTAGGGATAGATCTGATATCATTACTGATCACAATAATCAGTACTACATTAACATTACCACTGCTTCAAGGGAACTCTTCACAAAACATTTTTAATGGTGCTGTAGATGTAAGCAAGTTATAAAATATAAATATAATATAAATGCCTGGGACTGAATAATACATTTAAGACAATAAAGATAAAGATAAGATGTTTACTGTAATAATATAGTATACATGAGTAAGATTGCATATTTTTTGTTATGAGGTGGTTGTTTTGGTTCACTTTGTTGACACACCAAATTTAGTTATAAAATTACCTGGACTTCTTTAAGCCAGTGTAGCTCAAACTGACCATACATACTGTACTGGCCTTCAAGATGATTAATAACCAATAAAATTGTCACTAGTTCAATAAGTCATTACACAACCCTCATATACTGCAGTTTTCAGACTTTACACCAAGATCAAGTTATTTCCGAATGGCTTAGAAGAAACATTAGTTATGCTAGGACTCCTCTTATCACTTTAACACCCGAATCTTCTCTCTTTTATAATAAAACTGCCGTTTTTATTACAAGAAAAAGAAAAGTTTTTATGTAATTCTGTTCCTCATGTCAATGTTTTGACTGTATAATCCTGCTTCTACATATTTATTTACCCAGATAAAACAGTGAAACCAAACTGGGTGGACAGAAAAGTCTTCAGTACTCTCATTAAATAGATTTATATAAATATTTCTCTGTTTACACGAATTGATGCAGTCTCCCTTAAATGTGTTTAGAAGAATGCTGAACTGAAAACTATAAAAATATGTAAACATCACTCGCTAATTTCCATCTCATGAAAAATAATCATTTTGGTGATAAACAAACAAGTTCATTTTGATTTGTTACTGTCATTTTGGGAGAAAGAACCTTCCACATTGGGTGTTACTGTACTTTCTAGCTTTTATTATATATTGTGTCTCACATTTCAGGTTTTAAAATTTAATGATTTATGGTTTAGCGTTTGCAACAATAGGGTCATTGTTATCAAGTGGTAAAAAATGGTTGGCACAGGGCTGAAGGAATTTATAAGGTTTTATTAAAATACAAATGATCTTGACAAAGAATGAATAGTCTATGATGCCATTGGGTATCTCAATTTTACCAGGAAGTGCAGAACCTTGTATAAACAATTCAGAAGACTTAAGAGTGCTTACTTCGGCAATTAATATTCAACGATAGCCGGTAACTGCGCTGTAAATCTTGAATCAGGTATAAAAACTCTTTACATCTTATGCATATGAATTACTAAAGTTGCAAGTCAAGGATGCAGATTATATGGTAGTTGAACTAGTAGTCTTAACTAACAACCAACTAAATTGAGTTACAAAAGATTGTGATGTGGTCTATTGTTCTTAACATGGTTTGATTCAATTTTACTAAATATATTTTTTCTGCTGCTATCACCTGATAATAAATGTAAGTGTATGGAGAATGGTTTCTGCCTCTCTCTGTTGTCCTTTAGTTCAGTCATTCAGTCATGTTGGTTTTTGGCATTATTCTACATATAACTAACTCCTGTGACAGGAATACCACCAAGAAAAAGCCTACCCTGTAAGGAAATTCATGAAATATAATAATTTTGTTATCAGTGCTAGCTTTCAGCATAAAAAGTAACATTGATTATACAATTCATTAGCAAAGCCCAAGATTACTGAAGAAAATTATGAGGCATCTCATGCATTCTGACTAACCATTGTTTAGATTTATTGTTAGATGAAACATATATTATACTGTATCTGAGATATGCGGTATTTAAGTTTAAGTAACATTTTCTGCTACCAAAGATACTGCTCTACAAATACGTTTTATCACCTGCAATTTTCATATGGTTGTTCTCTTTGCTATTTTAACTCATTTCATCTGCTTTTCTTTAGGCTGTAGTTACTTAGAAAAGCAGGATTCAACAGTTTAGCACTGATACATATGCTACTCTATATACTGTAATCTATGACAATAAAGTACTTATTGACATTTTTTATTTTATTTCTTATGTAAAGAAATAAACTTGCATTCCTTGTATTCTTTGCTTTTTAATCCCATGTTATAAAAATATAAAATCTATATAAAAAATATAAAATCTCTGTTATAATCTGTGTTATAAAATCTCCTACCGCTCTGTGAAAGTTTTTATTGGTGGAAGTACTCTCCATACTTAATGTAACAAAGGCTGCAATTAAGATCTAAATCTGAAACAACCTGAAATGCTCACCAAATACATTATTGGTCTGTTCTAGAAACCTTGTCTTGTGATTTATCTAACAAGGAAACAGAAGTATTTCTGGAGGCATAATAAAAATACGGGGAGAGAAATAAAAGAGGTGGTCTAGGAGAATCAGAACAGGTTACAGCCAAATTACACTGTAAATCAATAACCATGTGTTGGCTTTTTTTGCAATCATGAACAATGTTTATTTTGTCACACACATCTATTTACTCCTTAGGCTAAAGACAATGAGTTTTCATCAGCTGTTTTTATTTAATGGATAAACTGTTACAACCCAGAAGAAGGACCCTATTCAGAATCCTCAGAACTCTATAGTACAAGTAGAGGTTTGTCCAGAAATGTGGGTCAGGAGGTCAGGCTGGGGTCAAAAACCAGTAGATACAGAAAGAAAGTTCAGGGAAGCTGACAAAGGAAGCAGAGTCCAAACCAGAGAGATCCACAAAATCCAAGTCAAGAGCCAGAAGACCAAGTCAAAAAGAAGCCAGGGGTCAAAACCAAGAAACCTTGGGGGAACGGGGGAACTCTATCTGCAATCTGCAAATAACCCAGCATCAGTGACTTTGCATACAGTACAGTATAGTACATCACCCCTTAGCCTTTATACTTAGTGTTTCTGAATTTCGTTATCTACAGTTTAAAGCATTAAGTGCAGTAATGTACAAACAAAGGGCAATCAAAAATAAGAAGATTCCAGCTGGTGAAGAGACTTTCTCACAACTGAATGACTTGGAAATGACTCACTGGTCAGAAGCACAGCACTGGTGCTGCCAGTTTAATACTTTATCAAGAGGTCTTGTATCTTTGATAGGTATAAATGTACTTCTGTTTCTAACTTCCAACCTGAAATGAGAGTTATTTTCAAAAATATTTTACTCTAGAGCATCTAATAAACTTGGCAAAGAACAAGCAGAAACAGAAACTCACTGAACTGGCTAGGATAAGAAGAAAAATGTTGATAGCACCAGACTCAGATACAGGCCTGTGGAAATAACAATTCTGGCATTGTATTACGTGATCATTTTATCATTTTCTTTCTGTCAAAAACAAAATTATCTGACAGAGAAATACATTTTGCTGTGGAATTCATTTATGATATGTTAGTTATTTCTGATAACTTTCAAAAGGGCCTACGCATAGTCTCAATAAAATTGAATGTGTGTCCGATTTTTTTTTTGTTTTTATTGAGTTGTTCTCTAAAACATTAGCATCAGGAGATTCATATATTATTCTAAGTAAAAAATGAGTTTATTGAACAATAAAACACTTCTATTTACATAGATACATGTTTCATGATCAATTTGTGATTAACAGAGTTTGGAACCCCTTTTCTTTCATCTCCTGTATTTCTTAGGGAATAGGATTTTATTCTCCTTATATGTACACATGTCAGACATGCCTTAATGTTTACATTGAAACAAATGCTGTTGTTTGTTTAGTCAAAGAAATTGATATTATTAATGTCCCATAAAGAAAAAAACATGTACTGTACCTGTATAAAGTTTGTTTGAAATGGTGTTATAAAATAGAAAATCTTTAACTTTCTTTTTGTTTTCCATTATCTCATAACACCCTTTTTTCAATTAATTATTAATTGAACATTCTGTAGCTCCTTGGGCTAATAACCAAATCTCCGGTCCTTGCCCCAGTGTTCTCTGCGCCTGGGACTTTATGATCACTTGTACCTTTCATGAACCTTAAAACAGCAGTCACTACACAGGCCAGCCTCACAGCTGCATCAATGGTAACAGGATACTGAGCAAAAGCACACAATATGAAAGGGAGAATTGTCTCGTTGCTTTTTTTAGCTGTACAGTATCTCTCTGGAACGGCAACATTTGAAAGGTAGGTCATAGTGAAAATCAGTGGCAAAGCTAAGACTGCCTCTTTTGTTTTATTTTTTTTTGTTTTCTTTACATTCCCAGGGGACTTAATTTAAATGGTTGCGAGAATGTGTTTTGTTTTTTGTTCATTAAAATCACTGATCTCCCCACATTTCTCTTCTCCACATTCCTTTACTTTTAGATCCAATTCTGCTTTCTTCTTATCCTCTTCCGGATTTTTTAAACTTTTAAGGGGATTGTTCTTCATATTTAACTTTTATTGCTTCCATTTAGTGCTCCTGCAAGAGTTGCGTATGATCGGTCTAAGCTAAGGTCTAGCTTGTTCTACACTTTCACTCTTTTCCCAACATCTTTATTCTCCTTCATACCACAGTTGTTTGACTTCAGCATGATTTTCTAATACCAAACCTTATACTGAGCAGCACTGTTTATATCAGATTCCACTTAGGGCAATGATTTTGTTTTTCTTGCAGACGTATTGGTATAAATTCATCAGTCATTCCACTTCCCTGGAATCCAAATGCAGGTACTGTAAAAGTTTAAAAACATCTACCTAAACCTTTAGTTTTATTTTTCTCCTTCAGTATTTTTTCTTACTTTGTTCACGCTAACTTTTAATTTATTTCACATTGGCACACCTACTAAATGTGTTTCTTTTCTTAAACACACATGTGCAACTTGTATCGGTGAAAACCACCTTTTCAAAGTAGTTAAAAACTGAAACAGTGATTTATTTCTTAATGAGGATTAATAAAGCAAACAAATAACGTAATGTGTATCATTTTTAATTTTGATGAAATGGGCCCGATTTTTTATGGATATCACCCAGTTTTATGCTAGGTGATATCCATTACTCAATGAACAAGGCGATGGTGATATGAAATTATACATTATTTCTGGTTCTAATCATTGCAGGTCAGGGAAAATGATTATTTTCCTTAGTTCTGTTGAATAATGAGCACCTACCAATTTTTTAAACTCCTTCAAAAGTTAATAATTAGATAAAGTATTTTCACTATGCTATCAAATGCAAAGTATTGTGGAGGATTTGTAGCTAGGATTGAATGTTATGCCCTATGACCTGCAGGTGACAAGTTCAAAACCTAAGCTACTGTAAGCTGCTAGCTCATTGTGCTCAGCATCCTTTTGAACTTTAAAGATGCCATTGTTAGGAACAGTTGTCTATTTAGAACTTATAATACTGATATTGTACTGTATCATCCATTATCATGATTTATAGTACAGTACTTAAGCTCCTCGTCTGATTACTGTTCTTTTCTCGCTCAGCTTTATCGCTGCAATCTCTTTATCAATGCTTATTGATAAGCATTGTCCATTTCTTTATGCTGAGTGTGCAGCAGGTTACTGTATGTTGTTTAAAAATCAGTCTCCAGTTACTGCTGCAAACTGTAAGACCTCCTTAAATCTGGGCATTTCTAATTAAATCCAGCATTTTAAATCAGTTCTAATTCATTTTTTTTTACCAGAAGGGCTTATAAGGTTAGGCAGTATGATTGATTAAGAAAAATAAATAATAATTAGACATAATTAATATTTACTTGCATTTGTAGAGAAAAATTCATTATAAAGGATTCCAAAGCATTTCAAATATAAGAGAAAGTCTGCCTCCACCACCAGTATAGTGAAATTACTTGTAGAATTAAATGGGAAATTTAGGAAGGCAGACTGTGCAAGCCCAGAGTGGACTTTAGCCAGGACACAGTTGTAGACGCTTCTACTGGTACAAACACAGCAAACTCAAAATGACCAATTAATCAGGATATAAATTTAACATCGTGTTCCAAGGATAGCATCTCTTACAGTATAGCGACTGTAGCCTTGCTTATTTTACCTGCTTTCGATGGGGGATGGTAGGAGGAGGTGGACTTCAGGACTGAAGAGGTTAACAAAAAGATAATAGCAATCAGAGTGTAATACTAATGCAAAGCCACTATGTATAGTGTTACCTAGAGGCATTCAAATTTGATATTCTTTATCTTTATACAATTCAACACCATTTGTTTGTATAGATAGAAATGTTGAGATTTCTTCCGCACTTTCATTTCCTTGCAGAATTCAGTTTTTTTTTTAAGTTTTCACACTTGGCTTTGTTCTGTGTTTCAGTTTATGCTGCAAAGTGTGACTTCAATGATGAACAGGCTCCATTTTGCAATTGGAACTGTAGCAACTGGATAAGGATGCAGCAAACTATATCCACTCCAGAGACACAACCAGCTGCTCTCCATGTTCAAAGAGGTAATAATCAAACTTCTTATTCATTATTTATATTTAAACTAAGTGGCTTGTTCTTAGGCCTTAGAGGCTAAACTAGGTCACACCTAATTATCAGTTGGAGTACACCTATTAGGATCATCTTAATCTGAAGGTTATGATACTGAAGGAGAGAAACAACCAAGTGGATCTGTTCCTCTTTACTAGAGTCCATATCAATAATCCAGCATGGCAGTAAAATCCACAAAGCTGGAAGAGAAGAAACTATTCAGATAAGATAATAAACTAATGTTCCACATACAAAAGATGAAAATCTCTTTAGATTTTTTTTCATAAAGCTACAAACAGCTACAGTAATGTTTTTGCCACATACAGTGAAAAGTTACTAGAATGGAATATTCAGATTAACACTAATTAATTTCTGTACCTAAAAATGCATTATAATCCATTCTCTTAACAGGAAGTGTCATGATGTTATGTGGTGTGTTGGCAGAGTCACTGCACTTTCTCAGTAAAAAAAACCTAACAGATTTAGTTGGGTTTTCCAAGGCATCTTTAAATCTGTGGTTTGGTGGAAGCAGCGATTAAATTAAATATCATCTATTTAGCCTTTATTAATTTTTGTTCAACTAAAGGTTCTATTTTATCTTAACAGTGTACATAACATTTGCTGAAATGTTGTTGAACAGGATTCAAAATCTGTCCCTTTCATAAATTACAAAATGAAATAATCTTTCCTGAGTTGTATGGGGAAAAACATCTATTATGATTGCTGTTTACTGTATTACTGTACATTCTTCCTGGCTTTGTGTTTTGAAAATATTGTAATTAGACAAAATTATTTAGTTTAATGGTTGCAAATTGTGACTTTGTAATAGCATACAGTATAAGAACCAATAATCATTGCTCATTTTGACTTCTTTCACTCGTCAAAGTAAGCCCTATCATGCCAATGATTCCTTATAAGGATAAAACAGATGTTCATGACTGTTACCTTTGACACTATAGGTGTAAAAAAAGAGAATGACTGCCACTGTAATTAGACAAAGTGCTTATTGAATATCCATGCACATAATGCTTTGCTGCTCTTAACTTACTCATTATGATGAAAGACAGTTTATTCTAATATTTATTGTCTAATAAATATGTGGTTACTTTTGTGGTGTTTTTATTCAGTTAATGACACTTCTATATTGTGCTTTGCATTGTGTTAAGGTGATTACTATCTTTATCACAAAACCAGCCCTTTGAATCCTTCTGTAAATGCTCGTTTGGAAAGTCCATCAGTCAGTGTGCTCGGAAATGTCTGTGTGGAGTTCAGGTACCTCCTGCTTGGCCCAAACAGCACTATGCTCAAAGTGCTGACCAAAGATATTTCTGGAGAGAGAGAGATCAGCACTATAAGTGGGAGTCATGGTTCATCATGGAAGCAAGGTTTTGTTCCTGTGTACTACCTTACAGAAACCACACTACAGGTAATACTCCTCGCATTTCTTTGTTGTACAGTATGTAGAACATCCACACCTGAACTGAACTCTTTAACCTCACAGTACTATGTGCCATGTCAATGATATAGTGACTCTGATATTATTTTGAAATATTTGCTGAGTAGTAATTATGTTGTGGGCTCGTGCCCCATCCACAAATGCCCTCCTTTTAAGTTCATCACGATATACGAGGGAATGCCTATATTCTTCAAAACACCCTGAGGTGGAGTTACGTCCCAGCCAGCGGTAGAGTCACAGAGTGCTCTCTGCCTGCCACACAGTGTAGAATCCAGGATAAGCATTAATTCTTTCGAACTAAACTCTTATGTCCTTGAAATTTTCATCGTACTCTTAAGTGTTTATTAAATCTATTTAATAAAATATTAACTGCGGTATAGCCTTAGTATGAACCTTAACTTCACAGATGTTATTGAAGTTCTTGTTTTATAAATTAAATAAGTACTCCTGCTGGGATAAAAGATTATCATGTTAGGAGATAAGAATGCAGTCCCTCAAGATTTTAATCCGGTATGATATCTGGAACCAAGGACAACAACAATTACATGAATAAAGCACTGTACCGTGCTTGCATTCTGATTTTTAATGGTTTTGTATGTATGCCTAACACTGATAAAAAAATCACCAAGAGCCATCTTCTGTGTCATTGGTAGAATTCAGTATTATTGTGAAGGTAAGGAGTAAGCAAAAAGAAAAATTGCTTTTAATTTCTCAATTCATTATCATAATTGCCTGTCCAATCAAGCCCAACATTAAGCTATTAAAAGTAAATTAAATTAGATCTTATTCTATTTAATTTGCTTTGATACATGGACAGTATTTAATCAGGGAAATCATATGACAAATATTATTTTTTCCAGGTGATTTTTGAGGCTGTGCAGGGGCTGTCAGGATTTGGTGATATAGCTATTGATACTGTTGGGGTCAGAAATGGATCATGCAGTAAGTGTTATTATTATTTTCCAATTAATAATGATATTCTTTCCTAAATATGAATTTTGTGATTTTGTCAGACATCTCAGTTTAAAATGTTCTGCTAATCTGTTATACTTGTAGGTTGTGCACCTTTTATACATCAGTATATGTATATTGTAAGGTGTAAGTAAGGTACAGGTAAAGTTCATATACCATAATGATCATCTTTGTTTATAATCGATCTACTTATGGCATCCCTGACATTTTTCAGCAAATGTCTGTCTGGGCTATCAATATCGTGTTTGCTCCTGGAAACTTTCATTTTGCCATCTTTCCAGAGGCCTACTTTCTGTTTGTTTGTTTTTTCTTCTGGTATCCAGTAATTACTGTACATGTACATATTGTTTGGGAAGTATTAAATACAAATTTCAACCTACTGTACCTGCTAGTTGCACATTGCAAACCAGGTGCTTAATGGTAGATTTTACTATGACGAGGCAAGAAGCCTCTGGCTAATGCAAATGAGAGGCAGCTCAGAGTTTATTGTTATGAAGTTGGTGTATTATGTGTTTTATTTGCTCTCACTATGTGTAATGTTTTACAAGGTGTAGAACACTTTGGAAGCTCTTCAGTATCCAAACATGGACCGAGAGGCAAATTAAAACTCAGCTACAATTTGTTTTTGACCAGACTCTCATTTTTGTCTCCCTTGGGAATTTACAGGTGACCCTGTGTGTACGCCAAACAGCCACTATGACTCCTGTGCTTCAGCATGCCCTGCCACATGTGCTCTGCCAAATGCCCCCTTCTCTTGTGAGTGGCCCTGTGTTGAGGGGTGTGTTTGCAACATAGGATATCTCCTCAATGAGGGCAGGTGTGTGCCCAGTAACCAGTGTGGCTGTTGGGATAATGGAGTGTATTATTCTCCTGGTTCGGGATTCTGGACAGACGATACTTGTTCAACTCAATGTACTTGTCCTTCTTTGGGTGGACACCTGACATGCTCTTCAGCGTCTTGTCCAAGTGATCACTACTGTGGGATATCCAGTGGCGTACCTGACTGTTACCCGTCCACCTTTGGCATCTGTAAGCTTCACAATGGCCCCCACTACAACACCTTCGAAAACACTCTCCATCAGTTTATGGGAACATGCACCTACACACTGGCTAAACTTTGCATGAAATCTTCTTCAATTCCCTACTTCAGTGTTAAAGTGAAAATTGAAAATCGAGGCAATTTCTCCAATTTCTACATCCATGAACTCCATGTAAATGTCTATAATTATATCATCTCCATGTTTAAAGAGTTGAGAGATAAAGTCATGGTGAGTGCACCTTTATTTCTTCTATCTACTTTTTAAAACATTCATCCAAAAAAAGTGATTATAGAATCGCTGCTAAAAGTAGACTTATTTCTGTATCAGTTTTCTGTTCAGTTTATAGTTGTGTTAGGCAATGGGTTGCAAAGTGCATCTGACCATTGTGACCATTGTGATTCTTAGATCACAGTCCCTCATGGTCCAAAGTTGCCCAATAGACTGGTCATGTGATACAGACAGTTTGGCACTCCTTACCTCACCATACAAGCTCATATACTGAATGAGCCCCATTGCACATATTGTACATACATTGGGAATACATTAAAGATTCTGTTTTGCATCTTTGCATTAAAACACCTTAATGATAATCTTCTTGCTATTGATTAAAGTATTAATAAGTAAATTAATCTTAAAATATATTATATTAATCTAAAATATATTAAAAGGTGCTCCTAATTTCACAATGACATGTGACTTCCAAACATGCCCTAGTCATCATCAGGTGGCTGCTTGCCAGTTTTTAGGTTTAACTTTATATCTAGATAATAGGGACCATATTTCTACCTACACTAAGTACAGAGGAAAAGCATGGAATAATGTACAACCAACACAAAGAAAGCGAGAAGTTTAAATTAACTATTGCCTTGTCATAAAGTGTTTTGTCCATCTTTTGTATGGCTTCTACAGTAACTCTCTATCTCTATGTCCAGGTTAATGGTCTTTGGAGAAAACTACCTGTGAGTCTGTCTGGAGAGTCAGTGAGGATCCACAAGAGAGGAAGGTTAATTGTTTTGAAGACAGGTTTTGATCTGAAGCTCTCTTACAATGCAGATTATATGGTGGAAGTGAAAGTCCCCAGCTTATATTTCAACAAAACATGTGGCATGTGTGGCAACTACAATCATTTTAGACAAAACCTTTTAGTCAAAGACAAAACTGAGATCCAAAGCAGCTGGCAAGACTCACCTGGAGATCTGACTTGTGAGCCAACAGTGCCCCCCCATCCATGTCCCCACAGTAAAGAGCAAAATTACAAAGGCGATCAAATGTGTGGTCTGATTACATCAACGAATGGTTACTTTTCCCAGTGCCTTTCTGTCGTCAATCCAGAGAGTTTCTTTCAGCAATGCGTTTTCCATATGTGTGCGCAAAATGGTGATTTGAATGTTTTGTGCAATATCTTACAAGCTTATGCGGATGCTTGTCAGAGTGCTGGCTTGATCCTGCCAATTTGGAGAAATGCTTCCTTCTGTCGTAAGTATTTGCTGTTGGCAGGGATGATGGTATTCTCTCAGTTATCTAGCAGTAGTTCTGTTTTTCAAAAACTTATGAGCTTTCTTATGATTCTTTTGTCATAACTAAATTATTTTTAGAGGATCAGAGGACAAAGTATGAGCTATGTTTTAGGTGCATATTAGTTTGTAACCTGCTCTGGTGACATTAAAGGTAGATTTGGAATAGGGAAAACACGAATCCCAAAAAAGTTAATGTTACGCTGTACCTCTTATTCCCTTATATTTTTTAAATTTCAGATTCTCTTGTGATGTGCCATCAATTACCTAGATAATTCTCTGGATTTCAAAACTAAATTTTCTGGAAAGTTAAGGTTTTTTTTTTCTTTCCTAGCCCTTACATGTACAGCAAATAGCCATTACAACTCTTGTACCAGTGCCTGTCCAGAAACCTGCATGGATCGTGATGCCCCAGCAACCTGTAAAAGACCCTGTGTAGAAGGATGTGAGTGTGATAATGGCTTTTTGCTCAGTGGAGGGAGGTGCATTGTTCCTGATAACTGTGGCTGCTGGGTGAATGGTCAATATTACGAGGTAAATAAACTGTAGGATGGGAAAGAGCTGGAATTGCATGCATCTGTGCTTAAAAGTGTGGAATACAATATTTTCCTCCTTTGGTATCATAATATACAGTATAAAGTAATCAGTGTTAAGAGTTTCTCTGTTTCTTTTTGCTATGAATTATATTTTGTGAGTTTGTAATTTTAAAACAAATCAGTAAGGTCAATAAAACACTACCGCATTTGCAGCCAAGATGTACCTTATTATGAAGATGTTTGAGTGTTTCGCTTTGAAAGGCGAAGTAGAAACAACAGTGTTGATTCAGAACACTAATGATCAGTACATCACTGCAATCTATAAAACAAAACAGGAAAATATCAGGTATGTATAACATACTATTCTCTCTAAGCTCTTGGTGCTTTCTTTTCTCAAAGAAGGAAGACACTTTCATGGATGGAAACTGTGAGAGCATGTGTCGATGCCTGGGAAACAACAACATTACCTGCTCTCCAGTATCTTGTCGACAGGACGAAGTGTGTAAAATTAAAGACGGCTTCCTGGGCTGCTTCCGTACCAGTGCAGCTACATGCCACATCTTTGGGGACCCACACTACTCCACGTTTGATGGCAAACTGTACCACTTACAGGGTTCCTGCAACTACACTGTGGTTCAGACCTGTGTCAACAGCTCTGTCCATTTCACCGTGAGCAGCAGAAATGAGCACAGAGTGATCCCTGGATTATCTGCTTTGAACTCTGTTGCCTTAGAGGTCCAAGGCCTTCATATAGCACTGAGGAAAGACAAAAATGTTTATGTGAGTATATGATGCAGTGCTTCATACTTTGATATTATATCATAGAGTGGAGGAATGTCTGTGTGGGGTTTTCATGTTTCCCAGGATTTGTCAGCTTTCACCAGGTCCTTCTCTTTTTATGGGTTATTTCTAATTCCATCTTGCTTTCTTAATAACTGAAAACCATTACATGAAGAATACCCAATGAAGCAAGCTAGGCAAACAAAAGGATTGAAATGATTGTGAACTTCAAAGGCAGATCATTAAGATTTTAAAACTGAGATTATATTCTGGCAATTGAAACACTCGAGACTCAAAGCAAATAATTCCCATCTGTAAATGTGAATTACTTTTAACCAAGTGAAAGATTAACTAAAACGCCCTGTATACTGTATAAATTTATTGAATACATTAATATTGAATTACATACAGCTAATTATTTACAGTATTTTCATTGCTTTATACAGATAAATGGGATGTTAGCGACGCTGCCAGTGCTGGAGAGTAAAATACATGTGTTTTATGAGGGGTCCTATATTCATGTGGAAACTACCTTTGGCCTTCGGCTCTTGTTTGACGGAGATCATAGCCTTTTTGTTCAGATAGATGAAAGATACAAGGGTAAGATTTGTGGGCTTTGTGGCACCTACTCAGACAGCCAATTGGATGATTTCATGACTCCAGATGGCACGCTTGTCCACAGTCCTGAGGACTTTGGGAAGAGCTGGAGAATTCAAGATGATGAGTGGATGTAAGTGTAAGAGTGACTTCTGCTGTAAATCTCTTGAATTTTTCTTTTTTGTCTGTCTTTCCCTTTTGTAGTTGAAGAAAATTGATTTTCATGAGATGTTTATTGGCTTTATGAATCATTGATTAGCAAAGGCTCGTAAAATATATATATAGAATGCAATAAAATCTAAATGAGAATTTTACACCTGTTATGCATTGAGCAATATTGATTGCACAAAGTACAAACATGTCGTGATGATTTACAGCTAAGTGTAAGAAAATTCTGCCTTTCAATTAATTTAACTGTTTGTGTTTTATTGCAGCTGTAATTCAGATCCTCCTCCTGTGCTTCCTTGTAATCCACAACTGGACAGTGAAGCCTTCCAGAAGTGCAGTGTACTTTTTGCAGCCCCTGGACCCTTTGAAAAATGCCATTGGTTCATCCCACCACAGCTGTATGTGGATAGCTGTGTGTATGACCACTGTGCTACAGGGGGTGACGTACACCAGCTCTGCACTTCCCTGGAATCCTACGCTGCTGCCTGTGAGGTGGCCAAAGTTAATTTAGGGAACTGGAGGGAGAAGACAATTTGTGGTAAGTCGGTGGCAAAGCTGTTGTATCAAACAGCAACATCTGTGCATTAGTTACATTAAGGAGCCTGCTCTGTGTTTTATTTCCTTCCATTTGAAGTTCAGGATAAGGACTTATCTTGGAGGCTGAATCCACTATTCTTTTTGTCCAGGGACCAAAAAGAGGATATTGTAGGTCCACATCATGGAGGATGATGTGGAGTTATTAGACTTTTGTCTTACCATGGGCTACAATCCCCTGTAAACCAACCATATTTCTAAGGATCCGGGTATTACCAGTCTAAGCTATTTCCATCCTGCAGTTCTGAGTAAACTGATTTCTTTTTTTTTTGTGGATATTTTACCATTTAGCTTGTCCTTTGAATTGCAACTTTGACAGTGATCTATGTGGGTGGACGCAGCTGTTAACTGATAGCTTTGATTGGACAAGGCAGCATGGACCCACACCTACTGAATTTACTGGGCCTTTACAGGACCACACCACTGGAGGTGAGAGTCCAGAACTACTACACGAGCTGCAGTGCTTTGTTCAAGCTGTGCAATAGACCATAGAAAAGAATGTTGTCTGTATTGTTTGTACAGTATATATATATATTTGTCCTTGTATCTTGTTTGTTTATATACTACATCAGTTTAGTTGTATTTGTTAATTCTATGGTAAATGGTTTCAAAGTTCTTTACAAAAAGATGTCTTACAATATGTGATGCTAAAGGTTTGATAGCATTTCTAATGTATTGTAAGTAGAATGTACAGTGCAATCATGTAATCAACACATTTCAGAAATGAATTGCATGAAGAACAGATCAAAGGATTAAAATAGTAATAAAATTAATTTTAGAGTGAAATATTGTCTAGTACAACCTGAAAAGTATGACAATGTATAACATTCAGTTTTTTTTCTGATATTGTATTTTATTTTACGTTGTTTCACACAGTATCTGGTTAATGTTATAAGTAAGTTTGAGCTCAGGAACCTTTTCTCCTTAAATTTAAAATATTACATTTTAATCCTAATGAATTGCTCGATTTCTTTTCAGATGGCTATTATATGTACATTGAAGGCGACAGAGTCTACACTGGTGACTCAGCTCGAGTGATCAGCCCTCAGTGCAATGCTACAGGACAGCTGCTGTGTCTGCAGTTCTGGTACCACATGTATGGGACAGCGAATGCAATGGCACTCAATGTGTACCTGCTGAAGGACAAAAGAGCTATAAAACTCTGGTCAAGAAAAGACAACCAAGGAGACATATGGCATAGAGCAGACCTGGAAATAAAGGACATGGGGACACTACAGGTACAGTATCTCTCTGATACAGATCACATGCACATTTGAAATCTGAGTTTGGTCGGTCGAAATCAAAAGTTAAATTCTGAAATCCCCCGATTTCACATTTATTTTTCTGAAAGGAAGTTTTTGTGCTATTTTAACATACTCTCTGTATCTAATTTTCCAGTTCATCTTTGAAGGAATAAGGGGAACAGATACTGAAACGGATATTGCTGTGGATGATATCTCAATAAAATTTGGACCTTGCGCTGGTAAATCAACAGTACTGTATATTTATAAGAAGACATTATTTTACTCTTTCATACTGTACAACAGTGTGGAACTTGATGAACTTCCTCTTGAACTCTTGAACGTGTCTGATCCGTAAAACTCTACACTGCACTGGGAGCTAATCAACTCCAGCTTCTTCTGAGTTAAGCCTAATGTTACATTTTTTTCACATATAGATCACAGAGAGAAAAAAAAATTCTCCTTTCTGTGTGTCCTTATATTTGTGTCACTCGGTCTTCACTTCTCCTTACTCTCGTTCTCTGGCTCCAAGTCCAAGTCGCCATTGAGCTTTGTTTCCATGTTCATTTATTAAAATGCAGTATGCTTCTTATTTATTAAAGAAGCATATCTTATAATTATAATGCAGCTAAATATTTCATTTTTACCAACAGATTCATCACGCATTGAGATGAAAATGATGTCAACTGTAATTCCAAAGGCATCAACTTCAGCTGGCAAACCAACAAATAAAGCAACAGCCATCGTAAAACTAGTAAAAGCCATGCCAACCACTTCCTCTGTAATGCACACAAATGAAGTACCTGGATATGTACCTTCAGGTATAGTAAACCATTAATTATACTCAGAGCAGCTTAGTAATCAAAACGTAAGAGTCAGGATACTAAAGGCAGTCATTTAAATGTACAAAAAATAATAAAAGTCCTAACAATAATAATTTGCTCTGTAATTTTAATTATTTTTTTATTTTTGATCGATACTCATATTAAAAATAGTCAGGTTGATGCAGATAACCTATTGACAGGTTAAATATAAATATATTAATAACTGATACTGTATTTACACTATATACATTTAGGCAGGACAATGCAGTAGCAGTTAGTACTGCTAATCCATAGCTCTTTGGTTCTGGATTCTATGCTGGGATGGAATACAGTTGCTATCAAAAGTACTCACCTCCCTTGGACTTTTCACATTTTACTGTGTTACAGTATAGAATGACAATGTATTAATTTGGATTTTTGCAATTGATCAACACAAAACACTCTAGAATGTAAAACTAAAAACAGAATTCTACAGATCCTCCTAAATTAATTAAAATGTAAAAGAGAAAATAAGTGATTGCATAAGTATTTACCTCTTTTACTATGACACACTTGAATAGGATCTGGTGCAACCAAATGCCTAGATGTTGGATTAATTGTTGAATGGAGTCCTTCTGTGTGCAATTAGGGTGTTTCACATGAGTTCCAAATAAATATGCCTTTCTCTGGTAGGTTCCACCGTTAATTAGTATGGCAACAAACAAAAACAACATAATGAAGGCAAAGAAATTTTCAAAGTAAATCTGGGATAGGATTATTGAAAAGTGCCAATCAGGGGAGAGTATGAGAAAAATCCCAAGGCATTACATATCCCACAAAGTTTATTTTAAAGAAATTTGCCACATTTGGCCTATATCTATGAAACTGTGAAAAACAGGCTGCCCTTAAAAACTGAGTATCCAGGAAGGAAGAGCACTAATCAGGGATGCCACCAATAGACCTGTGACAACTCTAAAGGAATTACAGCCTTCCATGGCTGAGATGGGAGAAGCTCTGCATATGACAATTGCCTGGGTGCTTCACAAATTTGGGCTTCATCTGAAAGTGACAAAAAATTAACATCAAATCTTGAATATACTTTGCCAGAAGTCATATGGGAGACTCTGAGACCAAGTTGAAAAAGATTACATTGTCTGACGAGACATAAATGGACCTTTTTGGCCTCAGTGGTAAGTGTTATGTTTGACGCAGGCATAACAGAGAACATAATCCCGAGAACAACACCCCTACTCTGAAGTATGGTGGTGGCAGTATCATGCTATGGGGATGCTTTGCTACTGTACATCAGGTTCTGGAAGACTAATGAGGATAGTAGGAAAAATGGATGCAGCAAAGGACAGAGAAATGCTGGAGGAAAACCTGCAACAGTCTGTAAGAGACATTGGAACTGGGAGAAGATTCGTCATCCAGTAAGACATTGACCCAAAACATACAGCCAAAGCCAAACTGGAGTGGTTTAAAAAGAAAAATGTCAATGTTCTGGAATGGCCCAGTCAAAGCCCAGACCTCAATGCAATCAAGAGTCTACGGCAGGAGTTGAAAATTGCTGATCACTAACTTTTCCCATCCAACCTTGAGCGACCTTGAGGTTGAGCAATTTTGCAAAGAAGAACGGGCAATCATTGTAGTGTCAAAATGTGCAAAGATGGTAGAAACCTATCCAAGAAGACTTATTGGAATGTACCTCTACCAAATATCAAAAGAGGATGAATACTTATGCAATCCGTTATTTTCCATTTTATATTTTATAATTACTTTAGGAGGATCTGTCGAATTTCATTTTCACTTTGACACTCTTTAGATTGTTTTCTGTCAATCAATGGCAAAAACTCCCATTCGAATACTGTACATTATGATTCCATATTGAAACATAATAAAATGCAAAAAAGTCCAAGAGTTGGTGAATACTTTTGATAGCCACTGTATCTCCTGTATGCAGTTTCATGGTCTTCCCATGCTCACATTTTTGTTGAAGAAATGTTTAATTATGTTTCACCCTTTGTATTTAATTTTTGTTTCATACAATGTTTACCAGTACAAAACTGTCTGTTTATTCTAAACAAGGATTGGACCTGTAAATGCAGAAATGATTTGCCAACATGCTCACTGCCCCATTCGTAGTGTTAATTTTGATATTTGCATTGTCTTATTTATTAAATCGCACAATTTGTTTAAAAATGGCATTGTCATAGTCTGCCTTTTGGACTGCAACTTTGAGAAGGATTTCTGTGGATGGTCCCAGCCGCTGACAGGCAGCTTACACTGGACAAGGCATCTTGAGACTACCTCTTCCACATTCTCAGGACCATCATTTAATCACACAACCAGAGGTAAGGAAATGTGTGTATTACAAAATCTGCTGGTCAATTAACTAATTGCTCATTTTTAAACACATTGTCAAGCTTTTCCACCCAATCCACCAAATGTTTCTGCAACACAACCTTTGTCTAGAAGAACTTTGCATCTGTATCATGGGGTTCCTTTGATCTCTTTGGGGGTCCTGTCTGTCATTTCATTTGAGTCAAGTAAGATATCAATGCATTATCCTAATAAACTTTGTCACCACTTTGCATTGATGAGGACTTGACTAAACTATTAAACTGATAAGTAAACTGCATTGACCTATGTTATTATCTTTTCAATAAAATGACAGTGCATCTGCTACTTTCCTGATAATAACTTTGTGAATTTGTTGCAGATAGGATAGTGATAGATTTACTGTATGTGAGGCTCAATATACTTTGGGACTTTCATTTAAGAATTCTTGCACTTAGTTCTCCTAGAGTGTCTTGGATTTGCAGTTGTAGAGATATTGTAATCAGTTATTCAGGACAATATTTAGTACCTACTTCCCAAATTTGCTTGTTTTTACTTCTTTAGATGGCTACTACATGTACATTGAGGATGATGGTGTTTATAATGGAGGTAGAGCTCGCCTGCTCAGCTCAGAGTGTACAGATCCAAGGCCTCAGTGTCTGGATTTTTGGTATCGCATGTATGGTGTGGCTGGCACTATGGCCCTGAATGTTTACTTGCTGGAGAACAGAAGCACTGTCAGGATATGGTCTGAGACAACAAATCATGGAGATATGTGGCACAGAGCAGGAATAGAAATAAAGTCCCCTGGACCATTCCAGGTAACTTACTGTTGCTCGGGTATATGCAATATAATGTTAGTAATTTTTTTCTTAAGAGTCTCAAGAGCTGTAAGAGTTTAATGTGGTTTTTTTGCAACATATTGGTAATGAAAAGGACTTGGGTAGTATATTTTACTTCCAAATTGAAAATGACCTATACTCTATGTCTTTCTTTTTATTTATATACTGTATGACAGACAATTTTATATTTTCCACTAGGGCATCACAACCATCTAAACTGTTTCCATCATGGCAAAGTGGACATAGTTTGGCCTACAAATACAAAAGGACCTGAAGCAGTACTTGAAGGAATTAAATGCTGTTTCTAGGCTGTGTTTTATTATACTTTTTATATATGTTTTTATATGTTTTATATTACAGAATGTGGCTAATTTCTAGTTGAGAGATTATAGCACTGAAATAATTATTTTCATTAATATGAAACAGCATTTCTTGTGGGAAATATAATTTAAGTACAGTAATCTGGAAGACCTATTTAAAAAATATTATTGTTAGTAACATTCAAATTAAATTAAATAATTAATTCAAATTCTGTCTGTTTAGTCTCTTTTAAAATGCCATGGTTTCAGAGAGCACTATTTCCACCCTATCTTTCTAGATTATTCTTGAAGGACAAAGAGGAACTGGCTACTGGTCAGACATTGCAGTGGATGACATAACTCTTAAACCTGGAAGATGTGCAGGTATTCAGATAAATTCCAAGCTTAATCATTTTAAGATTACAATGTAATTTGGCAGTTTGGATACTTTTATTAACTTTTAAGTAATGCTACAGAGCATTTTTGAGATTCTGAAACAGTAACTATTGTTATACAGTACAAAATACTTTTCATTTATTATGTTTTAATAAGTTAATGAAAATAAGTCTATTAGTAATGGTTTTTAAGGAGATCTCTTTCAAGAAAACAGGACTCTGGGAAACTTTATATGCAACATTTTTGACTTCCTCTCATTCAATTCACTAATAATACCAATATTTTTTTCCCTTGATCTATTCACAGATTTAATAGAGCCAGTGAAAATCAATATTAAAGATATATTAACAATCACAGAATCCCACATACCTATGCAAACAACAACTAAACCACCCCACCCCCCAGTATCAACAACTAAACAAGCCATATCCCAAGTAATAACAACTGTAACACCCCAGTTCCCAGAATCAACAACTAAACCACCCCAACTCCCAGTATCAACAACAAAACCATTGAAACCAACTACCCTTTTGTCAATATCAGAGACAACAACCACAATATCAGCAACTAAACTAGCCCAACTCACAGTATCAACAAATAAACCAGCCCCACTCCCAGTATCAACAACTAAACCACTCCAGCAACCAATATCAACAACTAAACTAACCTATCTCCCAGTATCAACAAATAAACCACCACAGCCCCCAGTATTAACAACTAATCCATTGAAACCAACAACTCCATTGTCAGTATCAGAGACAACAACCGCAATATCAACAACTAAAC